CCGAGAGGAGAAGGGATTGCAGCGTGGCCATTCTCCCTGGGGGGTGATTTCTCTTTCTGTCTCTCTGTTTCTCTCCGTCTTTCTGGCAAATGCACGTGCACTATAGCAAAAACTTTTCCAAAAAAAAAATAGAAAAGAAAAGAAAAGAAATGGATATAAGAACTATGATAAAATAGGATGAAAGGGAGGCAGACCCTAAACTTACCCCTTAGATTGATTCATTATGTAGAACATCCAGCCATCAGTCTCCCAGTGCAGTGCTTCTCATCAGAATTCTGGGGACTCTTTGAAAGGAAATCTTAATAATAGGTCTGTACTCCGGACTCTCTGGGGATAGGCATCAGTGTTTTCCAGCTTACCAGGTAATTCCAATGTGCAGCTGAGGTAGATTCCCACTGTAACAGAAGCCAGGAACAATGATCACCAGTTCCTTGTACTATCAGCCCCTGCCAGGAAGGGGGCTCGGTTGAGGAACACTGGCTGTCACAGCCCAGTCTCTCACTTAGCTCAAGAACTCCAACAGGATCAGCTTTTGGTGTAGTCTTGAGCCTTTCTGTATGCGTTGGTGATTTCTAGAGCAATACTCAACCAGGCAAACATCAACAAAGAGAGAAAAGAGAAAAAAAGAAATTTCCAAAAGGCATGATAAAAATATATAAAATAAGAATTTACATGGTTTTGAAACTATCAAAACAGAAAGTGGGAGAAACTGTGGTTTTTTCTTTGTTTATTTATTTTTAATTGCCAGAGTGCATGCACTTGTGTATGAGAGAGAAAAAGCATTTCCCAGTGGGGCATGATCATATCACAATTCTTTCTCCATTCTGTCAGGATTTTGGGCACATGCACACACATGTACCTGGAGTGTTTTCCACGCCACTGGAGCTGGGATTCAAACTGTGGTTGACCAATTCACCACAGGGATCTGGTTCCCTTCACTAGGCTGTGGAGTGGGCCGACAGTGGTTCTAAGAAAAGGAACTCCGAGAACAGGAAGGATGAGTCTTACATGGATTGGATAGTGGATTGTGGCTCCCTCTCTTCCTCCTGTTCTCAGAAGAGGCCCCCTAACCCTGTGGGCCACCCTAGATTTAGTGTGTGTGTGTGCATTTATGGGAGTCATATAAAAAAAGGAGTCAATGCCTCTAAACCTTAGGTCAGAATCTCTGGACTTGTTCTTGAACCCAAAAAATAAGGACAGTTAATAAGACTTCTTAGACGAAATGAGCTAGCATGTAAAGGGCTTAATTAACATAGCATCTGTTCCAAAGCAGAAGCTCAGCAACGTTTGGACACCCCACCCCAAATTCTGCCCACTCCAACACACTTTATGGAGTTAGAGCATGGAACCATAGGATGGACATGAGAGTTGGGGTGGCTGGGAAGTACAGGCAGAGCTTCAGTTAGTCTCAGTTACACAAAACAAGTTTTTGTTTCTGATATTGATCTTTGCATTCATTTTTGATACACACGTTTTTTATCAACATGCATTCTTTTTAAAAATTATTTATTTAATTTTATTTGTGATTATTCTTAATTTGACCAGAGAGAGAGAGAGAGAGAAAGTGAGAAAGCAAGCTGCCAGGTCCGGAACTCGAACCATGGTTGGCCATGTGGGAGTCAAGCACCTTAACCACCATGCCACCTGACAGATCCCATAAATATAAATTCTCTTGGGGTCAGAAACTTTGGGAGAGGGCAGGCAAGTGTGGTACCAAGGATTTTCTTTCTAATCCTTTTTTTTTTTTTCTTGGTTTAGCTTATTAAATTAAATTCAAGAGTTTTCAGAAACCAAGATGAGAAGAGGCAGCCTTGAAACCTACCAGGGAGTAGAGGGAAGCCAATTTAGGGTTTTAAGCTTGTGATGGGAAAATGCATTAATTATATAGTTCACAATAAGATAGGAGAATAGGTTGCCACCTAAAACCTGTCTTTTCCAGGGGAAGAAAAGCTGGGCAGTTTTATCTCTCTCTGTCTGTCTCTCTCTCTCTCTCTCTTTTTTTTATCAGATGATAATCAATTTATTAAAATAGTTGACTTAGACATCTCCATTGGTGACTTCAGCCTCAACTCCTGGTTCGATACTGATGGAAGTAATCTGTTTAACAATCTCAGAAGGACTGTGCAAATCACTGAGTCGCTTGTGGATTCTCATCTGGAAACGATCCCAAGTCTTAGAACCTTCACCACAAGGTGTTTTTCTTGTAGTGATTCTCAAAGCCTTGGTAGGCATCCAAACTGGTCCTTTCACCTTGAGATTCTTTTCCTTTGCACCTCTGATTAAGTCAGCACACACTTTCTCCAGGGACTTGACTTTGCGGCTGGTTAAAGTAATTCTAATTTGGTGAATGGCCACCTCTGGCTCCACAGGTGTTTTCCCAGTATCTTTAAAAGCCATGGCTGCGGCGGCGCGGCTTCCTGACTGGCTTGTTCCTCAGTGAGAGCGAACAGCGTGAATCAGGAGCAGAGCGGGCCCCCAAAGCTTCACGCCACCTGCGTCCGCTTCTTCTGCCTCTCTCTCTCTCTCTCTCTTTTAGTGGCTTCATAATTCAGGAACCTGCCCTGGGACAGGGGATACCACAGGAGAAACATTCGAGGAAGTTCATTTTGGTGAAAGACAGGTGGACTTTGGGCATTGTTCCACCACCAGCTATTCATGGAGGGATTTAAATGGGGTTACCCTGCAGTCTGGCCCCTGAGGTTGCTCAGTGTTGGAGGATAAGGGTTCCTGGCTCCGGAAGTCACGATTATAATTGAGGAGGAAATGAAGTTGGACTGGCTGGAACAGAAGAAGCAGTGGAGGTCTACAGGATTGTCCAGGCCCCTGTCCCTGATCCCTGGGGTGGAACTGCTTCCTTTATTCTGCAGTCTTGCTTTGAGACCAGACAACTGTATGCTTTCTCTCTGAGTCCTTCCTTCTCTGAAGCCCTGCCTCTGCCTCCTATCCTGGGAGGTACCTGTGTCCTCCCACGTCCAGGGCGACAAGACAGACCAAGGTTCACATAATAGCTTCCTAGGTAACCTCCCTTTAAAGAACAAGGAAGGTTATCTAGTTCCAGTCTTTCGGGAGGGCATTAAGAGAAAAAAGTTAACCAGTAGGAAGTCCAGGCTGCATACATTTTGGGAATACTGGGATTGTTCCCAACATGATCTAGGAAAACAAATCCACACACTAGTTGTTCCTCAGAAAACAATAAAGAGACCGGGCGTCCCACTGCAGAAGCCTAGGGCAGGATGAGGTTTACCTAGTAACTGATGATGCTATCCTGAGGCACTCTGTGATTTGTCTCTACATCTGTTCCTATTTATTTACCCAATCTGGCAACTCGGTTCTAGACACTGGGTTCTGAGCTAGTAGGAACAGACTTAGTGTCTAGGGGCTGGGTAACCCGAAATTACTCATCTAGGAGAGACCAGGGCACCTAAACAATATTCCACTCAGTGTCTGCAGATCACCTGTTCAGGCTGGGGCTTCTGGGGCAGGCAAGGATCCAAGGCCCCTGGCAGAGACGGTCCAGGGGACTGAACTCCCCGCCCCTCCGCAGAGCAGAGCATGACCACACTCCTGCCGCTGCTGCTGGGCCTCAGCCTGGGGTGCTCCGGAGCAGGTAAGGACATTCCTTCTCCCTTCCCCTGCTTCAGTTTTGGGGTAAGGGCTGTCAATTTAGTTCCTGGATTGGGACATCCCAGATTAATTTGTCTCCCTAGTCTATGTATGTTCCTATAGCACCTTGTATTGTACCTTCACAGCAATTTTAATACTAAACTGCTTAATTGTTTGTGTGCTATATACCCTCCGCTGGAATGTAGGCAAGGACACTGTCTTGGTTCTCGCTGCATCCCACCTCCTAGCACAGTGCCCGGCACAGAGCCGATGCTTCCTAAATAAGGATACAGTGAGTATTTAATAATTTCCAGCACAGAGCAAGGCTGACTCTCTTGACCTTTTTTCTTTCTCAGTATTTACTTTACTGAAGATCTGTGTTCTGAGTAAATCATATTTGAACATGAAAATCTGTCTTTTCCAGCGGCACCCCAACCCTGGTGGCTTGAAAATCATGCAGGGCACATGTGCATGTATGCCCAAAATCCTGACATGAAGGCAGAATGGAGTAAAGGGATTGCAGCATGATCATGCCTCATTGGGGATGGGCTCTCTCTCCTTCCCTCTGGGGAGTGCATATACCTTCTGATGGTGGAAATCAATTTCTCTGCTGCTACCATCTATCCCCGTAAAGTAGGATTCTGAGGAACCCCGGTGTGTGAGCTGGTCATAGGCATTGCCTGTGGAGGGAGATATGTGCCCGACTAATGGTATACCCAAGACTTGGGTTTCCATCTGAATACAGAAAAAAACCTGATTTTCCTCCTCTATACACTCAACACTTCTGTGACCATATGGGCGAGTTTTTTCCTACCCCAGCCAATTCTCCTATACCGGCTGGTGTCCTACAATTCAGTTCAATTATGACACTAATGGGAGTTAACACACACAGGCCCCAGAACTTTTATCCCCATGTCCACAGACTGCTCCCCATTTCAGACACCAGACCCAAGTAGTAGGTCTTCAGGTTACTCATAATTTCTGTGCAACTTGGTTATAAATGACAAGTTTCCACCAACCCCTTCTTGGGGGGCCACAGAACCCAGGGAAACAGTCTATTTGCTATTGCTGATTTATTGCAAAGGACTTTTTAATAGGTATAAATAGGGAGTCAGATGAACAGGCATGAAGGGTGAGGTCCAGAAGGGAGTTGGCATGTGCTGCTCTCTTGGCACATGGATGTGTTTACCACCTGAGAGTCTCCAAACTCCATGGTTCAAGGATTTTTTTAAAAATTTTTTATTTATTTATTTATTTTAATTTGACCAGTGGGAGACACACAGAGAGAAAGAGTATGGGAAAGTGCGAAAGCAAGCCACCAGGTCTGGGACTTGAACCATGGTCGGCCACTGTGGGAGTGTCCACCACCTTAACCACCACACCACCTGTTGGTCCCAATAGCTAACATTTCATGAGAGTTCTTACTATGATGATCATTTTTACTTGTCTTCTGTCATTTAATTCTTATGACATCCTATGAGGTAGATAACTTTATTCGCGCCATTTTATAGGTGAGGAAACAGAAAGAATTATTTAACTTTGTTTATTATTGTTATTATTTAAATTTGCTATAGGGCACCTGTGAGAGAGAAAGAGAGGGAAAGTGAGCAAGCAAGCCACCAGGTCCAGGACTTGAATCACACTTGGCCATGTGGGAGTCCAGTGTCTTAACCACCATGACACCTACTGGCACTGGTTCAAGGATTTTTTTTTTTTTTTTTTTTGAGAGGTTTTCGCTATAGGGCGCGTGCGCTCGCCAGACAGACAGAGAGAGAGAGACATAGAGACAGAAAGCGAGCGCGAACCGCGGTCGACTACGTGGGAGTCCAGCGACATAGCCATTACGCTAACTGCTGGTTCCATGGTTCAAGGATTTTTATGGAGGCTTCATCACATAGGCTTGACCAATTATTAACTCAATTTCCAGCTCCTGTCTCCTTCCCAGAACATAGGACATGGGGATAAAACTTCCAGGCTTTTAATTGTGGCCTGATCTTTTTACTGACCCGGCCCCAGTCAGGAGCCCACCAAGAGTCGCCTCATTAGAACAGAAGACATTCCTTCATCCAGGAACTCCCAAGAGATCTAGGAACTCTATGTCAGGAATCCGGGTCAAAGGCCAAATACCAAAATAAAAGATGCACTTCGTAGCCCTATCACTCATGAAATTCCAGGGAGTTTAGGTGCTTTGTGCCAGGAATTGGGAGTAGAGCCCGAGCATGTATTTTTTCATTTTATCACTCCAGCAGAGAACACTGACCCGATCTCCCTTTTTGGTTCCTCTAGGTGGCTTTGTAGCCCATGTGGAAAGGAACTGCCTCCTGGATGATGATGGGAATCCAAAAGATTTCACATATTGTGTCTCCTTCAACAAGGATCTGTTGACCTGCTGGGATAAAGAGGAGGACAAAATGGTCCCTCTTGAATTTGGATTTCTGCAGCATTTGGCCGGTTACATCGCAGATATCCTCAACCAGGAAGAAACACTGCTCCAGCGCTTGCGCAGTGGGCTCCAGGACTGTTCCACACACACCCAGCCCTTCTGGGGCCCACTGACCCACAGAACACGTGAGGAGAGAGGGGTACAGAGGGGCCGTGGACAAGCACAGTTAGGAGAGGGGGGGCCAGGGAGGAGCCTTTTGTAGGCACAGAAGAGAGCTGGGCAGGAAGGAAGCAGTAATTATGTGGGCCTGGTCTGCACAGAGGGAGAGGTTTGACCCTCAGGGGGAACAAGGTGGTGATAGGGGTGAATGGGGAGTAAGGAAGGGGAGGTGATGTTTGAGTCCAGGAGGAGCTACTGGGGAGTAGGGAGGAGGTCAGGGGCCAGGGCCTCTCAGGAGACAGATCCAAGTCCAACCCAGGGCTGTGTCAGAATAACCGGAATGGCTTAGGCCAAAGCGCTGATGCCTCTTCATCCTGGATTTTGATGTCTAGATCCGGGGCCCTGACAGGGGGAGAGTATTTGGAAAGGCTTCCCTAATCTTTAATCTCTTCTGCTGAGAATGACTTGAGGTTTGTAAAAGTAAACTTGAAGGACAGAGTAGTGCATCTTCAGTTGTGGTTTCTGTTTTTTTTTTTTTGGAGAGTTTTTTGCTATAGGGCGCATACCCTTGCCAGATAGACAGAGAGAGACAGAGAGACAGAAAGCGAGAAATCACCCCCCAGGGGGGATGGCCATGCTGCAGTTCCTTCTTCTCCATTCTCCTCTTGGGATCTTGGGCACGCACGCACACATACCCAGCGTGAGTTTAAGCCACCGGGTCCAGGACTCGAACCACAGTCGACTATGTGGGAGTCCAGCGACATAGCCGTTACGCTAACTGCTGGTCCCTTCAGTTGTGGTTTCTGAACTACCTTCTCCAGAATTGCTGAGGCAGGTACTTGTTGAAAGTGAAAACCCCTGAGGGCCAGCCCCTCAGCCTAGTGGCTGGATCTCATGTGGCCCATGAGATTTGAATCCTGGCCTCGGCAGTTTGAAAAATACGCCCAGCACATGTGAATGTGTGACTCAAAACCCAATGAGTAGACGAACAGAGAAGTGATTGCGACATCACCACACTCCTCTGGGGAGAGGGGTGCTTTCTCTCTCTCTCTCTCCATCTCTCTCTGGCCAGCACATGCAAACCCCTGAAATATTAAAACAAAAACTGGTTACAGCTATACCAAAATTTTAAAAGTCAACCCCTTGGGTACAACTACAGATCTCTTGAATGAAAATATTTGTGGGGGCTGGTAGGTGGCGTAGTGGTTACGGGTGCTGGACTCCCACATGCCTAACTCCAGTTTGAGTCCCAGACCTGGCAGCTTGCTTTCTCACTTTCCTTCTCTGTCTCTCTCTGGTCAAATTAAATAATAATAATAAATAAATAATCCTTTAAAAAATATGTATGGATACAAACTAGGTAATCTGCATTTTATAAAAAATTATTTATTTTTTATTATTATTATTTTAAATTTGCTCTAGGGCACATGTACTCACCAGAGAGCGAGAGAGAGAAAGTGAGAAATCACGCCGCCAAGTCTGGGATTTGACCCATGGTCAGCTATGTGGGAGACCAGTGCCTTTACTGCCATGGCACCGGCTGGCCCCTGGCAATTTGCATTTTTAACATGATTTCTTGGATTTTTATTTAAGGTTTTATTTCAAAAATACCAAGATGGAGGCAAGCAAGAGGGTCACAGAGGAGAATAAACTAGTAAATAGTGGCAATATTAACAATCTCTTTAATTTGGATTAGACTAATTCTAAATTAGAGAGTTAGATCTGAGTTAGGTTTAGTTTTGTAACTATCCAAGGAAAAAGGCAAATTAGTTTGTTAAGCAACATTTGGGAATGACATTTTTTCTGCCTCTACAAATTCTAATTTATAACTTTGGATGACGGTTAGCTTATGTATTTTCTTATTAAATTCTATTTTATTAATTTTTTCAGCTTATATATTTTCAAGGTTATGTATGAGAGATCTTCAAAAAGTTAATGAACAATGCATATTATAAAAAAACTATGCATGGGTTTAAGTTTATTGCAACAAAATAAATGTGTACTTTAATTCCATTTTTCTATGAACTTTTTGAAGTCCACTTGTACTTGAAATAAATACAATGACTTATAAAACACCATGTAGTACAGGCCTGGCCTTTTTTGAAGAGGAAAAAAGAATGAAACAGAAGTAAATGTTAACTTCTCACTTTCAAATTGTGTCATGGGGGCCAAATGTAGGTAGGCAAAATCTATGGAGAGTTGCAATAGGAAAAAAAAATAGGTTGGAGAAAAGTCTAGAATGTCATCGTCCTTCCTGAACATGTCTTTTCTGTAGGGCCACCATTGGTGCAAGTAGCCCAAACCACTCCTTTTAACACGAGGGAGTCTGTGATGCTGGCCTGCTACGTGTGGGGCTTCTACCCAGCTGATGTGACCATCACGTGGATGAAGAATGGGCAGCTGGTCGCCCCTCACAACAGTGGCCAGAAGACTGCCCAGCCCAATGGAGACTGGACATACCAGACTGTCTCCTATTTAGCCTCGACCCCCTCTTATGGGGACACCTACTCCTGCATTGTAGAGCACATCGGCACTCCTGAGCCCACCATTCAAAACTGGAGTAAGTAGACGTCAGGTGGGAGGAATGAGGGCTGAAGCAGAGAGGTACTGAAAGTTGATGACTGGAGAAAGAATAGTAATCTTTGGCAAAGGAAGTGCCAACATTGTAGCAGAGGAAGTGAGATGTGGCTAGATCCGCGACATCCAGAGGGGAGAGCTGAGAATGGGAAGTGAATCTGGAAGAACTTTAGAGGATTTACAGCCAGAGATGGGGACAACGGGATGACGGAATGGAAAGAGCTAGTTACTGTTGTTGCCATGGTGGTGTGGTTGGTGTTTCTGTGTCTGTGTTCGAGGGTGGGAAGGGAGTATGATTGTCCCAAAAGGAGAATGTAGATTAGGTAACCATACTTCCAGGACTCAAAATTGTAACACTACTTTATGTTTCTAAAATTTACTAATCTAGTACCAGGCCAGGAATAGGAGCTGAAGAACTAGCAAAGGTTGAAGAACATCAGGTGACTTATAAAACACCATGTAGTACAGGCCTGGCCTTTTTTGAAGAGGAAAAAAGAATGAAACAGAAGTAAATGTTAACTTCTCACTTTCAAATTGTGTCATGGGGGCCAAATGTAGGTAGGCAAAATCTATGGAGAGTTGCAATAGGAAAAAAAATAGGTTGGAGAAAAGTCTAGAATGTCATCGTCCTTCCTGAACATGTCTTTTCTGTAGGGCCACCATTGGTGCAAGTAGCCCAAACCACTCCTTTTAACACGAGGGAGTCTGTGATGCTGGCCTGCTACGTGTGGGGCTTCTACCCAGCTGATGTGACCATCACGTGGATGAAGAATGGGCAGCTGGTCGCCCCTCACAACAGTGGCCAGAAGACTGCCCAGCCCAATGGAGACTGGACATACCAGACTGTCTCCTATTTAGCCTCGACCCCCTCTTATGGGGACACCTACTCCTGCATTGTAGAGCACATCGGCACTCCTGAGCCCACCATTCAAAACTGGAGTAAGTAGACGTCAGGTGGGAGGAATGAGGGCTGAAGCAGAGAGGTACTGAAAGTTGATGACTGGAGAAAGAATAGTAATCTTTGGCAAAGGAAGTGCCAACATTGTAGCAGAGGAAGTGAGATGTGGCTAGATCCGCGACATCCAGAGGGGAGAGCTGAGAATGGGAAGTGAATCTGGAAGAACTTTAGAGGATTTACAGCCAGAGATGGGGACAACGGGATGACGGAATGGAAAGAGCTAGTTACTGTTGTTGCCATGGTGGTGTGGTTGGTGTTTCTGTGTCTGTGTTCGAGGGTGGGAAGGGAGTATGATTGTCCCAAAAGGAGAATGTAGATTAGGTAACCATACTTCCAGGACTCAAAATTGTAACACTACTTTATGTTTCTAAAATTTACTAATCTAGTACCAGGCCAGGAATAGGAGCTGAAGAACTAGCAAAGGTTGAAGAACATCAGGGACTTTTCTTGGCGTGGGGACAGTGCTGAATCTGGGCTAGTAAAGCCATGACTAACAGACACTTCGCTGTGTGTTCTTGGAACTTATGTCAACACCATTTGAACCCCAGGGTTGGAAGCGATGAAAGGTTTTGAAAAGTTGCACACAAATTTGGGGATTCTTGGGAAAAAAAAAAAAGAAAGAAACGAGGAAGGGGAAGGGGTGTCTTCAAAGAACCAGGAACAGGACCTCAGACAGGCCTCCCCTGTAGGGAGTGCTCAATCTCGCTGGGCATCTGGGAGGGGCATGGGGGAATGGAGAGGCGAGTACATCTCATGTGTTCATTTTGAGCTGTCCTGGGACAGGTCTCCTCTACAGGGTGTATAAGGAGTTCCCCTTGGTGACAGAGTGTTCGTATTATCCTGGGAGAAGAATCAGAGTGGGCCATGACTCAGGGCGAGGCCAGCTGGAGGAGGGAGGGCAGAGAGGTGCTGTGGAGTGGGACGGAGACAGCTCTGAAAGGACACACCAGAAATCTAGACAGGAAAACACACAGTGCTAGGGCAATTCGCAGAATGGAACCATTGGAGGTTAGGAAAGGCGGAAAGTTTAATAGGAAACTGTTCAGATGGAGTGAGTGAGAGAGCAAACATTGCCACCATGGGGACAACAGATGTGTGAGGAAGCCTTGATCCTGATGAAGGTGACTAGGGAGAAAAGAGAGGAAAGAGGGAGGCTCCGCTGTATCAGAGAAACTGAAAGCTGGGAGACGAGTTCACAGGGTTGCCCTAGGAGCGGAGGTCCATAGGATGAGGGGTTTGAGGAAAGGCCATTTCCTTGGGAGAGGTTACTGTGAGCTAGCCCCTTGGAGCTGGGATAAAGAACCTTGGAGTGCTTGCAATAAATTAAGTTGCTCTGAGCCTGAACAACAGGGATTGGTTCTAGAAGGTTTCTTTCTTTCTTTTCTTTTTTTTTTGCAGCATCTGGGCTGTCCCCCATACAGACGGTGAAGATTTCTGTGTCTGTAGCAATTCTGGGCCTGGGCCTCATCATCTTCTTTCTTGGCCTGGTCAGCTGTCGGAGAGCGGCCCCCTCCAGTGAGTGACCACCCTGAAGTCCCATGCCCTCTCCTACTCCCGGTCTTGGTTCACTTTCTCATCCCTACCCCACTTGCTGTGATTAACACTAGATACGTTTTTCCACAACAACGGATCTGACCAAGTATCTTCCTCTTTCTAGGCTACACTTCCCTCCCAGGGTCCAATTACCCAGAAGGTAACCTCTCTGTTGGTCTGTTTGCCTACGGGTCCTTCGCGGGGGTACAGGCTGGAGGGGGTCTGTGTTGAGTTCAGCTAATGGTGCTTATGGAAGAGGTGGGCGTCCACTGGATCTAGCAAAGGGAGATTTAAGATGCCATTGTTGGGATTAGAGCAGGAAAGAGGAGAGCCTACATCCTCCTCTGCTACCCAGTGGAGCACCTTTGGAGAGGAGGCTGAATGTGGTCTCTCTGTATTAGTCATTGAAGACCTACCATTTCTAGTATCACTGTATTTTTTTAAAAAAGAATTACTTGTTTTATTTATTTATTCATTTATTATTATTTTTTTGAGAGGTTTTCGCTATAGGGCACGTGTGCTCGCCAGACAGACAGAGAGAGACATAGAGACAGAAAGCGAGAAATCATCCCCCAGGGGGCATGGTCACGCCACAATCCCTTCTCCTCCATTCTCCTCTCAGGATCTTGGGCACGCACGCACACGTGACTGGCGTGAGTTATAAGCCACTGGGTCCGGGATGCGAACTGCGGTCGACTACGTGGGAGGCCAGCGATGTAGCCATTATGCTAACTGCTGGTTCCCATCATTTATTATTTATTTTTTAATATGGCTAGAGAGAGAGACACACACACACACACACACACACACACAGAGAGAGAGAGAGAGAGAGAGAGAGAGAGAGAGAGAGAGAAAGAAAGTGAGAAAGCAAGCCACCAGGTCCGGGATCCGAACCATGATCGGCCACGTGGGAGTGTCCAGCACCTTAACCACCATGCCACCTGCTGGTCCCCAGTATCACTGTATTAAGGGCTCTGGCATGGGCTGGTTACAGGGACAAATGCTGGGGTCAAACCAGGTCAAAGACTACTTACCTCCTTTTTATTTTTCCACAGGACGGCACATTTCCTAGAGGTAGAATCTTACAACTTCCACTCCGAGTGATGCTGCCATGCCTCCCAACCTGTTGGATCCTGCCCCAGATTTCTTGGATTCTATGGTTTCTCCATCTAATTCTTTGAATTTTAGTCTATACTCTGTATAGACTAGCAACTTGGAGAAACTCACTCCTGGGGATATCCTATAACCAAATTATTGTCCAAAGCTATATTTTGGGTGCATATAATCTGGGGGAGGGGAGTAAAGACTTCCCTAGGGCCTACTATGCTACAGATGGCAAAGAGTCCTTGGTGAGCATCTGTGAGAAATAAACTCTAGTGGAAATACTGTCTTTCCAAGTCTTTTTCTGGGACCCTGGGGGAAGGAATAAGGGCAGGGCAGGGGCTGAGGCTGGCTCTCTCCCTGAGTGGAAGAGTCGGTGCCCCCTTCCAATTTCCCATCTAGACATGACAGAATTTGGGCCAGTTTTCTGATTTATAGTTCATAAGAAGAAAGTAAACCACGCTAGGATGTAATTGTGGAATAATAGAAAGAGGATTAGCAGTTTATTTACTTTCTAAGAGATCTTATGAGGATTAAATTAGTTCATACTTGTAAGTGGCCAAGACCATGGCCTGACACAGAGCTGTGATCAGTTTTTCAACGTTCTGAGTGAGGCTCTACACGCGGCCTTCCATCTAATCCTCGCCACAGCCTCAAGGCAAATTCAGGGGGCAGAGTTTACCTTCAGACTTGAGTTCCAGAAAGTTATTTCTTCCGGACCGTAAATGGGAAGGAAACAACTGTAGTGCTTATTTCTTGTAAACTCTGGGCTAAAGGCTTTACGTTCATATCCTTCTCATCTCACAATAACCCCATAAAGAACAGATTGTTTCCCTCCGTGCCACAGACAAGGAAGTGAGGTTCAAGAGGTTAAACAATGGGGCTGGCTTTGTGGTCCAGTGGTTGGGGGAGCCAGATCCCACATGGCTGAGCACACACTTCGAATCCCAGTCCCAGAGTCTTGAAAAACACAGGGGGCATGTATGTATGAATGCCCGTATTCTAACAGGATAGAGAAGGGCTTGCAGCATGACCACATCCCGTTGGAGGATACTTTCTCCTCTCCTTGTCTCTCTCGCAGTTTCTCTCTGGTAAGCACACACAAATTGAAAGAGAAAGAGTTGAGGAGAGAGAGGTTAAATAACTTATCCAAGGTCAAAGAACAGATCCTCTGTAGGATGTTTGTCTACCTGAGCTGGAGGTAAGTAGGTTACTTTATTCTGGAGCCCCTCATGCTGGTGAACACCCCTCTCTAGAGGGCTATGTTCTATTCCTTTCTATACCAGACCCAAGGGGCATCTAGTATTGAGGGACAGATTTCACTCTGTAGGCACACTGGCTGGTTAGTTTTACCGGGAAGGCAGACATTCGCTAGAAACAACATTGAGCTGTGGAATTGCTTTTGGAGTTAGAGTTGGGTACCCAACTGCCAGCGAGGGAAGAAAACCAAAGACATGAAAAGAAATGAAGACCAGGGGAACTAGCAGATGGACTAATGGTTACATCACTGGACTCCCACGAGTCGACCACAGTTCATGTACTGAACCGAGCAGCTTAAAACTCACGCCAGGCGCCTGTGCGTGCATGCCCAAAATCCCAAGAAGAGAATGGAGAAGGGATTGTGGCATGACCAGTCACCCTGGGGGTGGGGCGGTTATGATTTCTCGTTTTCTGCCTCGCTGTCTCTCTGGTGAGCACATGTGCCCTGATAAGCTTAGGAGGAGGTCAGAAGGCAGACTACACAGAGCCTTCCTGTGGGCTCCTAACCATAGTGGGGCAGGTGAGAGGGCTGGTTGTAGGGGTTAGAACCCTCTGCCCCTAGACTCTTTCTATCCTGCTGGGAGACTGGAGGAGCGTAGGAATAGCACTGTTCATACAAATCTGATGTCCAAAGGTGCTCCGTGTTTGCCCAGTTGATGAATTGATCTTTAGCATAACTGATCTCCCACAGGGATCCTTGTGATTGAGGCATCTCATCTGGAGTGAATTTACCAAAGAAGTCAATAAGACTGAAAAGTGTTTATGAATTCAAAAGGTCATTCTCTGGCTAGGCCATATGAGACAGGAAGGAGAGCGTTGTGTGCTGAGGAAACCAATTGGTAAATAGAGGCTCAGAAATTAATCTCTACAAAGTCGACCAGTTTCATGTTTCATTTTCACTTTCCTATTCATTGTACTTAAAAAAAAACAAAAACAAAAACAAACCAGAAAATTTATTTTGAAATTCTAGTCTAGTCTGGTGGTGGGACATTGGGCTTTGTCTATGTGTGACAGTTTTGTAGGAGAAGTTGCACATGTGAAAGGTCTAGGTCTGGCCATAGCAATTCGAATAAAAGTGACAAGACCTCTGGGGAAAGGAAGGACAGGGTCAAATAATCGAATAGCTTCCAATTCTCCAGGAGATTCCCCAGACAGGCTTTTTTTCTTTTTTTGTCCTGACTTTGTAGATTCTTTTTTTGTTTTATAGGGAAGGTTGTCCCCTTCTAGGTAAGGAATAGGAAAAAGTGGTCCATAGATTTCCTGAGATCTGGGAAGCCAGATTACTATCGGTAGGAAAGGGAGTCCATTTGCCACCACATGAGGCAATAGTGGTGCCTGGAAGGATAGAGGGAACTCCAGAACCATGAAGGGGAGTAGAAAATCAGACATGATGAAATGCCGAAAAGGTGTGTGTGTAAGGGGGCAGGAGGAGGAGAGGGAGAGGGGACAGTGAGGCAGGAAGAAAGAGAGTACGGGGAGAAAGGTTGGGAGAGAAAAAGTGAGTAGGTAGGGCTCTAAGTTATACCTAATCCCAGTGACACAATGAATGGTTCTTTTTCTCAAAGTTTTGCTTACTTTAAAAGCTGAATTTAGAACTGGACCTGAACTTCAAGGTCATCTAGTCCAGCCCTCTGCCTGTGTCCATGAGCACACATAGTGCAAGCAGTTCCTTAACCCTGAGAGCAGACGCTAACACTTCAGGAAAATGTGTTGGGCCCGAGTTTAGTGTTTCCTTGGACCATGAAAGACAAGGGAAAGAAACCCCAAATTCACAATAGGAGGGTGTATCCTCCGTGTTTTCTCCTGAGGAAGAGTGTGTTTCTGGGTTCCAGGTTCTCCTGGCCTCCCTGTGTATACACACATTCATGTCAAAAAGAACAGACAAGGATTGGCATTTCAATTAATATCTATTTATGAAAATTATATTTAGATACATTTTTTTCAAATAATTGTTTCCAGAGTAAAACTGGGTGAATCAGCTGACAGATGAGGGACTCACTGGCTCTTCAGACCCTTCTCCCATTGCACATGAGTTTCCAGGAGCCACTGGCCAGGCTGGTCCTGGGCAGGAAATGAAGAAATGGCTTTTATCGTATCAGTTTCAACAGAAAACAGACGGTACATTCAAAATAGGATAGTTGGAGGGAGTTTATTTATAAGGCAGTGCTTTCAGAGACGTGGTTGGAGGACCGTGCAGTAACGTGGAGCTAGCAGCAGTGACTGTGGCTACCCCTGTGCAGAGAGGCCAGGGTCAAGGCGGGTTATCAGAGCTCAGAGGGAGCAAACCCCGCAGAGCTGCCACCTTGCCGGGTCAGTGCCCTCAGCCAAGGGACAGAGGCAGCGCAAGGTGACCTTGTAGGGAGGAGCCAAAGGAATAGGGGTGCTGCCCTCCTCCCTCCACTCTCGGGCCGGGCCGGGAGCCCAGGGGCCTGACAGCTGAGGGAAGTGTGCAGAGTGCGTCCGGAAGGACAGACGGAAGACAGTCTACACACAGCGAGAAGGAAAGAAACCAAGGTCAGGAGTGGGGCTGAGGGTGGGGGAGAAGTATAAAACTCGGGTTTCCTTTGGCCTTGACAGCAATGAAAAACTCAGTAGCAAGAGGAAAATAAGTATGTAGTTTTCCAGTGGAAATTTTGGGAGAATACTCATTTCTCATTCTGCCCTCTCCACCCTCTCAAGGTTTAAGTAACTCTTTGTGCATCTGTATTTTTTTTTAAATATATCTTTTTATTGTCAAAGTTAAACTTGAATTTCGATTAAGGTTATACTGAACATGTGGATGAATTTGGGGATAACTGATTTCTTTTGAATATGAAGTCATTCCTTGCAAAAGCAGAGGGTATTTTCCTATATATGAAAATAATTTATTTGCCTTTTATAGTGATTTTTTTTAAAATTCACTTTTTGCAGTGGTCATTTGTGTGTTCAGTTCATTCTTAGCTGACATTGTAATTTTATTTTCTAACCAACAATTTCTGGTGTAAGAAATAAAACCAATTTTTAAAAAATGTGGTTAAAAATATAACATAGTATTTTCCATCTTAACTATTTTTTTTTTTCATCTTAACTAGTCATGTGGGATCTTTTTCTGCAGTATTAATTACCCTCACAAAACTGCGGAACACTTTCATCTTGCGAAATCAAATTCTACACCCTTTAAATAATTCCTCATTTCCTCTTTCCCCCAGACTGCTAGTAACCGTCATTCCACTTTCTGTTTCTGTAAATTTGACTACATTTTACATCTCCTATTCGTGTAATAATCCAGTTTTTGTCTTTTTGCGACTGGCTTATTGTACTTCGCATAATGTCTTTAACGCTAACTCATGTTGTAGCCTGTGGCACTATTTCCTTCCCTTTGGAGGGCATGCATTCTCAGATGCCTGGGGTGTTTCTCACGCCACTGGGTCTGGGACTTGAATTGCAGTCGGTCATGTGGGAACCAACTGCCTTAGCCTTAACCACCGTACCACTGGCTAGACTAGCCTTCCTTTTATTTTTTTCTTCTAAAATTTGTTTCTTCCTTAAACAAGAGAGTGAGAGTGTGCACACCCAACACTTTTTTTTTCTTTTTCTTTTTGCCATAGGAACAGAAAGAGACAGACAGAGCGAAAGTGAGAAATCCCCCCTCAGGGGATGACCATCCCACAATTTCTTCTCCTCCCTTCTCCTTTTGGGATTTGGGGCATTCACACACACATGCCCAGCGTGATTTTCAAGCCTTTGGGTCTCGAATTGTGGTCGGCCATGTGGGAGTCCAGTGCCTTAACCAACACGCCCCCTGCTGGCCCCAGGTAGCGGAGTCTTGATGCTGTGATCCACCCCAACCTTCAATCAGGCCAGGATCATGGGCGTACGTGGGCCTGGCATGCTCAGGGAGGTCTCTGGACTTGAAATGGGAATCTTCCCATGTGGGATTGCCTTGCAGAGCATTGTTTTACTGCTGTGCCACTGTCTGCCCCCTTTCTTTCTTTCCGTTCCTTTCCGTTCCTTTCCTTCTTTCCTTTTTTTTTTTTTTTTAAGAGGTTT